TCTGGCATCGGAGAGGGAGACCTAAGTTTGAGGCTCTGGTTTCCATGGATTCCGGCATCGGCACATAGTATATAGAGAGAGATTGAGAGAGATGGTTCACTAACAGGAACTAATGGATTTTGTTTTGGTTGTTGGATGAATTTTTGGTTTGGAAATGGTCTGTAAGGGGTGAATATCAGCCTCATCAATCTTTGTACTTTTTCTATATACCCATGGAATACAGAGGTGAATTCAACCAGAATCGCACCTATATACATAGGTTGTATATATATATATATATATATATATATGATTGTAATCATTTGTGTGCATTGATATCAGACGCAAGAAGCATGTTACCCATCCCTTACACACAAGATCATATGCGATGAGAATTGCTCTTGCTTTCTAATGTCAGCATTGCTAATGCTTCTCTAGCCGCAATTCTTACATGATTTTGAATTTCAGGTATCACCTGTTCAAAGAAAATGTTGAACAAATCCTTAAGAATTCCACCAGTACCACCAATCATCTCCTTTGCATTCTCTTCCAATGCCAAACTGGTAAGATTTCTATGCCCCGCTTCTGTAGCATTATTGGGCGTTTCTCTCCATACCTTAAAATGTCTCTGATATTACTAATTGTGAAAGCAAAATTAAAATTAAAATTTAATAAACTTACTTTCTATTTTTTTGCTTTCAAAATATTGAAAGTAAAAAAAATTATTGAACATTATTTCACTTTTTATTCCAGTTCAAAAAATCAAAATCATAATTTTACTTTTGCAGAAAGCAAAAGTAAGAAAGTGAAAGCTTTAGTAAATGGGCCTAAAGTGAGCTTCCTTCAGCTACAAACTATAGGAGAGCATGTAGCATGTTATTTAAGTGTATTTTATGACAATCACAAGTATACATGAACTTGTATGAATAAAATGAAATGTACATTTATTCCGCAAAAAAAAATCAATAAAAGCAAATGAATTTAATTGCAAGCATTTGAACTTCTATAAACCGAGGTGAATATCTGCTAGGTGTTAGTTTCATTTTTCTCTTCAGATATTTTGTTGTTTGTTCAAATCCATTTGCTCCAATGAAGAAGTTAGAAACAATAATCGGGAATAGCTCGATTTGCTCCAATGACGAGCAATTCCTTGTCAACAAAAATATCTATGAAAAAAAAATTCCTTGTCAACAAAAATGTTACAGGAGATATGGAAGAATGTTTTGTTGGCAACAATAATCAGGAATAGCTGGATTTGCTCCGATGATTAGTTGGATTTGCTTCAACGAAGAAGTTATATATATACGGTTCCGGTTCTTACCGATTCTCACGGGCTAGAACCGGAACCGGAACCATATGTACACGGTTCCTAAATTTGGAATCAGGACCAAAATCGAAACCGGAATCATGAGAACCAGAAAAAACGATTCCAGTTCTCACGGTTCTAGTTCTTTTGTGCACCCCTAATTAAAACCAACGGTTTTCATAAAGAGTAGTGTTTAGGTTCTACCTTATCAAGATAAGAATTGTCCTCCAAATTAACTTAGCCAGTAAGAATTTGCCACATCTCCATTCTATTAAAAAATATAAAACATGAGTTATACCTATTTAACTAACCCGTTTTAATTTCTCTCTCCTTGATTCTCTCTCATCCCATGTGCGTACCCTTTTGTTTCTCTCTCCTCTTTGTTTGCTCATGAATCAGAAAAGTAAAGCAATGGACATGATAAAAAGACTGTTTTCTTTGAAGCCTAACGAAATCCAGAAACTGGTTTGGGATTCTTTTTTTTTCTGCCCCACTGAAGTTCCCCTCGCCAGTTAAATCATCCTCATCAACGTCACGATCGTGACCATTTTCTTAACCTCTAGCCAAGCAAACCAGAGACAACAACCACAAATCCAAGAAAAAGAGATCCAGTATATTCCAGAACAAATCATTGATGAAATTGGGGACAATAGAACGATAATAGATGAAATTTACAGTCAGCTCATGGATGAGCATCACGTTATTAGGACGATGACTGACACCAAGCTGGCGTCGAGTGAGGTTCCGGCGAAGCTGCTGGCGAAGATGAGGAAGTCGGCGAGTCTGAAGTCGGCTTTTGGGTATTTTGAAGAAGAGGACATTGTTGAGGCTCGTCAGTCGGCGAAGCTTATTAGGATAGACAATCAAAAAGTTTACAAACCAACGGACAGTGAGTGATTGAAGATTCCGGCGGTGTATTAGATTCCGGCAATTGGGTAAATCACGTTATTCTCTGTCGGACTCTAGGAATTGTAGAACGCCGTTCTGCCTTTCAACAGGTTCCAGTTAGTCCGGCGAGTTTGAGGGTGTAGTGGAGAGATTTCATCGCCGAGACGAGGTGGGCGATGAGGTTCTTGTCTGCGGTGGCCATGATTTCGTTGCCGAAGGCGATTCAGTTGATTTTGGTTTTTGGGTAGATTAGGGAGATTGTGGTGGAGAGGACAACGAAGAGCCGGTGAGAACAGATTCGGCAGCGACGATCCGGCGGAGACAAGAAGGATGACAGATAGATGATAGCAAAGAGCTGGTGAGATAGATTCGGCGGGATGGATCTGGCAGTTGGAGATGGCGGCTGTGAGACAGATCCGGCAGCTGCAAGACTGAGTTTAGCGAGACTGATGGATGGTTTGGCAGATTTGGCAAAATTAGCATTTCTCGATGGGAGATTGATCTGTCATAAAGAAAATGAAACATACATACATGGGAAAAGAGAGAAACAAGGAGAAAGAAATAAAATGGGTCAGTTAAATGGGTATAACCCATGTTTTATATTTTTTAACGGAATGGAGATGTGGAAAATCCTTATTGGGCCAAGTCAGCTTTTTTGTCCTGATAAGGCAAGACCCAAGCATTACTCTTTCATTAATACGAGGGCGAGCTTTTTGGGCATCAATAAGAATGTTCAATTGTAATTTGGAGGTCACGGATTCGGGATGAGAACAATCTCTTCATATATGTTGGTAAGGTTGCGTACATCTAATCAGAGGCGGTTCAATTAATTTGAGGTCTTAGACAAAAAAAAATAAAATGGTCTTTTAATAGAGTTTATCCATGTGTTCATGCTAGTAATATGCTCATTATTTATTTTATGATTTTTAAGCGTAGTACTAAATATTTTTCAATATCTAGTTTTATAGTTAGTTAATTGATTATGTACTTTATAAAAGACATATTCAACAATATAAATAAAAATGGTGACAACTCACAAACAAAATAAATAATTTTATGATAACAAAATTTAATAAAAGTATAAACTAATTATTGAAGTTATAGAATAATAGAAACTGATTTCGAAAAATTTAGTTCAATACTTGGAAAAAAAAAAATAATAATAAATAATAAAATAAAAGTTCATTCAAAGTTTTGTTGCAGAGTTAAGTTGTAAATTGTAGAAGTGGAGAAGATGAAAATAAAAAAATTAAAAAAAAATAATTATAATGAGAGAAAAAAAATATTTAGAGGAAAAAAGTGTGAAAAAACAAAAAAAAAAAAAAAAAAAAAAAATTAATAAGTGTCTTAATTAATGTTATTCTTTCTTGTTCATTCACACCTTACTTGTTACTTGTTCATTCACACCTTACTGAAGATACCCTAAATAGATAACCCCACCACTTCCTTTCCTTCTATCTTTTCCGTATCTTCCGCTTATCTTCTGCGTCCATCAGATGCCAACAAACCCATGTGCAAAATCAAAATCCAAATCAAACGTCATGCCCAAATGAATTTTGACAAACTACTAGTAGGACCCGCCGAACTTCATCATTATTGCCCTTTTTCTTTTGCTTTCGGCAGATCACTTTCTCATCTCTGTCATCTTATCACAATCTGGTGCAAGAGAGAGAGATATATATATATATATATATATATATATATATATCTCTATATATATACCCAATTGCATACAATACAAAAATCAAAATTAAAATCAAAACCTACCAAAATTAAACTCATTCATACATCGCAAGTGGGACCCGCACATCATCACTTTTTCATTCATTTTTTCCATTAATCTCGTCCAGGTGCTTAACTTCACATCACCATCCTCCATTACATATATATATATATATATATATATATATACAATTGCATACAATACAAAAATCAAAATTAAAATCAAAACCTACCAAAATTAAACTCATTTAAACATCACAAGTGGGACCCGCACATCAACACTATTTCATTCCTTTTTTTCATTTATCTCGCCCAGGTGCTTAACTTCACATTACCCTCCTCCATTATATATATATATATATGTATATATATATATGTGAAAATGGACTCCCACTTATCCTTTTTAATAAAGTTTTGGGTGCGTTTTACACCCTTACGCTGGATATATAACCCCTCCTCATTGTTTGTTCACTTTCTCTGTACATTAAAAATGGTGTGAATTAAAGCTTGTCACCAACTGCCTAGTGTACTTTCCGAAAAAAAAAAAGAAAAAAATGGTGAGAATTAGTACTTTTTGACTGTTGATTTTTATTGACCGGTACTAAAACTATAAAAAAGACTAAAATAATCCTCTGATCTCTCTCTCAATACCTAATCCATCTGCTGCCACAACAAACCCATTTTCATCCCATTTTCATCTTCTCTTAGCTAACGAAATTATCAAAAATGAACAGCAAGCCCAAGATTCATGGGCAATGCCTATTATGGGTTTGTTGAGAATGAATCAGAAGTAGCTTTAGTACCAGCTTGTTCCATCTTTTTAAAAAACAAGGAGGGAGAGAGAGGCTATGGAGAGAAAGTATTGAGATTCATTTTTCGATCAGAAATTTCTTTCCAAGATTCATCTAAATTCGATTATTAAGAAGGTCTCAATCTTAGAGAAGCAGGAAACAGAGAGAGAGAGTTGTGACTACTGGATGTGTGTATAAAAATCGAAAAGTTGAGAAGTGAATCAGTAATTTCCTCTCCAATTCTCATCAAGACCAAAATTGAACCCTATATATACAAAGAGAACCAAAGATCCCCAAATCACTCCAACCTACACATGGCTCCAATATTCTCTCTGTTTCTTGTTTTGATCACTGAATTTTCATTAGCAACTGCTCAACAAAGAAACTCCAACATAAGCCTAGGCTCCTCTCTCTCTCCAGCCTCTAGCAACTCATTTTGGTCCTCTGGTTCTGGCCAATTTGCATTTGGGTTCTACCCAAATGGTGATGGCTTCTCCATAGGCATCTGGTACGCAACAATTGCCCCGAAAACAGTCATATGGACAGCGAACCGAGATGATCCACCGTTTCACAGAGATAGTAAATTGGTTTTGAGTGATGATGGAAGGTTGGTATTGCGACAGGGGGAGGACCCTGAGATAACAATTGCCGGTGGCGGTGGGTCCCAGATTGGTTCATCAGCTTCCATTCTGGACACCGGCAACTTCGTTCTCTATAATTCAAGTTTAGGGAAAATATGGCAGAGCTTTGAAGCTCCAACAGACACCCTTTTGCCCGGTCAGCAGCTTGTCCAAGGGCAAGAGTTGTTCTCTAGCATCTCTAAGGACAATCACTCCACTGGCAAGTTTCGGATGTTAATGCAGTTGGATGGATACCTAGCGCAATATCCAGCAGGCAGCCCGAATACAACAGAATATGGTTACTGGGATTCGGGAATATACGGAGGCGGAGACAATGTGACACTAAATCTTGATGACAATGGCCAATTATACTTGCTTAACACCACTGGCATTATGATAAATCTGTTTGAAGGAGGAGATGCCTCTGATAAACTGATGTACCGCGTGACACTCGATGCAGATGGGATATTCAGGGTTTACTCATTTGACTTGAATCGGAGTGATGACGATTGGAAAGTTGAGTGGCCATCTTCCGACGACAAGTGTCTTCCTAAAGGCTTGTGTGGTGACAATCAATATTGTTCCTTGAAGAATCAAGAAGCTGTTTGTAAATGTCTTCCTGGTTTTGATTTGATCGACAAGAGGCATAAGGACTCGGGCTGCAACAGAAATTATGTTAGGAATGGCACTGATTTTTATAAGTACTTAGACAATGTTGTTTGGTTCAATAATAACTATTCCGCAGTGATCAACAGCTCGAGCATATCTGCTTGCGAAGATGAGTGTTTGAAAGATTCCAACTGTGAAGTTGTGCTCTATACAGATAACCAGTGCCTGAAACAAAAACTTCCACTAAAATTCGGAAGACCGCAGAAAGAATCGGATCGTCAAGAAATTACACTAGTAAGACGCAGCAAAGAAAAAAAGCAATCGATAGTTGTTATTGTTGTGGTCGTAATTGTTGCTTTTACTGTGTTAACGATATCTGGGGTTCTGATTTACATATGCCTTGTCAAAAAACGTACTGTTCATGGTAAAGAACCTGTTCTTGGAATACCTGTTGGAGGAGATTTTGGAGAAAACCGGTAGGTAACGTCTGAAATCACTTTGATTTATGGTTTTGTAAGCGGAACAACAAAAGATTCAGACTCTTTTTCACTATCCGCTTCTTTTTTTATGTCTAGCATGCTCTATTGAATAATGAAACCAGCTTATTGTAAGTTCGTTTTTTTTTCTTTCAGTATGATGTATTCATTTTGTTGAGGGCTTTTCTGCAGATGAAATGAAATGGCATAAATAAATTCTCTATCTAAAATTCAACATAGTTTGGGTATCAAATCTATTAGTTTGAATAAATATTCTCATGGATATGTAATTTCTTATGCAAATGCTTCTAGTTTCCTGATGGGCAAAACAGAGTCATTTCGTGACACACGACAGAATTTCTTCAATCAACGGAGTGGAAACAAAAGATTGGCTGACGTTGTGAACTTACTGAATTTGTCACTAATCACTCCCAAATAGTTGGATAACGCTTTGTTGATTTGTTGAGTTTATATAACATATTAAGAAAAAGATATTCACACCAGTATCAACACAAAATCCCCATGTAGTTCACAATCTTGAAGGTTGACGTTGAATTTTAATATGAATCGTTCATGCCATACATCTGATTATCACACCTGGTGTGGTGCCCTATACAGTCCTGCATTCTTGACACACTGCATCAGATACTCTTATTGGTGAGAGATTGGTTGTTTTTTGCTGACTAGACATGGGTGGCAAACAGTTCGGTTGGGTTTGGTTTAGGCAGGATCAAATATGGACGAACTTAAAATGAGTCAAATATGAGTTGGGTCAATCTTGTAAGACTCGATGGGCAAATTTTTCATATCCTTTTTTTTCTTTTCTTTTTCATTTTTTTATTTTTTTTGAAAAATAAAATACATTTTACTATTATTTCCATCTTATTTTACTAAAAATTGGAGAAAAATCATTTTAATTGCTATTCAAGTGGGTTGAATGTAAATAATACGTTGACAAAACCCATTTAATACATATATTCTTCAATATAAAAAAATAAAAATAAAAAAATCTTTTAGATTTATATTAATTTATGAAATTTCATCCTTCAACTCGTATGAATTCAACTCACAAGATCCGACCTTTAAAATGTGACTCACTCATAAGAACCGAACCGTTTACAAACACATATGACACTTCGCTCATTGACAGGATTTGATTTTTGACAGAAATAAACATCTCTCAAACTAAAACAAGTATAATTTAACAAAACAAGTATTGAATGGATGATGGAAATCGTAATCAAATAGATGTAATTGTGTATTTCTAGTTGAAATCATTATCTCATTTGAATCATTGAGAACATGGTTGTTTTTTCTTTTTTTTCATCAAAATAAGTAGTAACTATTGACTTGTATCTTCTCCAATGTAGTTGAAATCATTCTCGTACATGAGTCATTGCGTTTTCATTTCCTTCCGTGTCCATTCTTTCCTTCCCGGCTCCTCCATTACCCTTCTTCTCTCGTACAATTTGGGAATAATTTTATGGAATGCCCTTTTATTATTATTATTATTATTATTATTATTATGTGGCAAATTAGAGTGAGCGGACTCGAACATGGACACTCTATTCGGTGAGCTGGGCACGTCTACCGACTAAGTGAATAATTTCAGACTCTTCTTGTTGTTTGCCGGTAGTTTTTGCTAGTTTAATAAAATGGTGATTTTCGAAGAAAAAAAATTAAATAATAAAATAAAATTTTGGATTGGGTAGAGTGCTTGCGATGGAGCCAATGAGTTAGAAAGGTGCATCTTTTTTATTCACCAGGGGAAGGGATTTTAAGAAAATTAATTTTATTTTATAACACTGGTTCGGAAGGCAACCTTAGTATGTACTACGCAATTTGGAGGACTGCTTAAATTCTGAAGTCTCGCAATATGGATTAATATTAACACTTTGAGTGCATTTCAATGTTTTTAATTTATTTTTATTTTCCCATCGTACGTCAATGGTCATTCCCTTGTTTTGTTGTATTTTATTGACAAAATTATCAATTTAATTGTCAAAAATTTAAGATTTATCATTGAGAAAACAAATTTAGGGCATGTTTGGCACGTGTTTTGGTTTTACTCAAAACAAAACAAGTGTTTTGGTGCGAAGTGTATTAGTTGAAAATGAAACATGTTTAACAACGTAAATTTGTAATGGAAATTTGGAAAGAATTTCTTTCGTTTCAATAAATTTTAAAACATAATATGTTTGACAGAGTTCACTGTTGCCAAAATTGTTGAAACAACAACAAGAAACATGTTTGGAAAAGAGTGTTTAAGATTTATTTTATAAAATCTAAAAATATATTAATATAATTATTATTTATATATGATAGTACATTTTTTTATATATATTTTGATAAAAAAAAAAAAAAAAAAAATTAACACATAATTTTTTTCCCCATTATCTAGAGTTAATAATTCTTTCTGTATGATGATATGAGTAGGACTGCATATGTACATTTTGCATGATTTATCACGTCTATTGTTTGTACGTCATTGTACACACAAATTTTGATTCCGGAAATTCATGAACGAAAATAAATGCGATAACAATAACTTTATTAAATAATATTAGAATATAAATGAGTGCAGTTCTCTGTTTGGCGAATCTATTACAGCATAAAATCTCCCTCTGATTGAATCTCCTTGGAATGTCAGCGTAAGGGCTTCAGAAACTTGATCTTGGTCAGTGGTTTAACTGTATCTGAGTTCTTAAAAATGGAAGAAAACTCAAATGGATTTCTAAACCAGAGCCGGTGAGGCTTGATCTCGAACGGTGGATTTAAAAGTCTTCGAAGGAGAACGGCACTTCTGTGCTTATTGTTCTTCAGAATCTTTGAATGTTGAAGAGCTTTGATGAAGAACGAAGTAGGTGTGTCACGCTTATTGTTGTTGTTCTTCAGAAACTTCGGAGTCCTTGTTGAGTCAGAGCTTCGGCAGAGCTTTGATGTTTTATTTTTTTCTTTCTCTGTGTGTCCTCAAAATGTGAGGGGTGGCCTTATATTTATAGGCTAAAGAATGGGTCGTTTAATTTGGAAACGCCCCAATATTGTGCGATTTTTCCATAAATAAGGGATTTGTTTCATTTTATATAGAAATCAATTCAAATTCAAATTTGAATTAAACCGTCATTTTTTTAAAGGCTTAAACCTTTAAGATTTTGACACGTGTCCATTGATGGGACTCGTATTTGTGGAATTTAATTATTCAAGAAATATTTGACTTTTTGACCAATCTGACGATGATTAGACCATCACAAATTTTATGTTGGAAACGGGAACATTAAAAACATAAACTTTGGATAAGGTTTGGAATAAATTCCGCTAATAATTTTTTACGGATCTCTAGACGAGCACGTTTCTCTCCGCAAGGAGATGAACGTGGTATATTTACTTTCTCAAATCCGTTTCCGGGTGAATGAGAAATTAGCTCCAAAGTGTGGTGTTTTGATAAGCTTAAATGGGTATGCAAAATGTGGGAAGTGTTTGTCCCACATGGAAAAAATGTTGAAATTAATTGAAATTTAAATAAGCCAAATTTGGGCTTGGACCTAATTGTAAAGTCCAATTATTCTTTTTACTAAATGGAATCTTGGATTGGGCCTTTAATTTTGGACTATGCTTATTTAAATGGGTGGTTAATTTTTAAATTTAAATTAAAAGTTAGTTTTTTTTTTTTTCAAAGGATTACATTTATTTCTAAAGGGTTGTATCTATTTTTCAAAGAGTTGCATCTGTTTCTAAAGGGTTGCAATTCAAAACTAACAGACATAACTATTCATGTGAACCATCGCAACCTATAGGAGTGAATGTGTCTATTGGTGAACAGACACCATGTGTACCATTGCAAACTATTAGAGTAGATGTGTCTATTGGTGAATAGACACCATGTGAACCATTGTAATCAATTGGAGTGGTTGTGTCCAGTATGAAGAGACACATATAAATGGTTGTGTCCAATGATGAAGAGACACACCCAATCCAAAAGGCACATTAATTAAAAACTACTTTTTAGTTTTTTCCAAAGGGTTGCATCCAATCCGAAAAGGCACCTTGTTGTCTATAAATACCCCCCTTTGAATCATTTGCAAATCATTCATTTTTCAATTTCTTCTATCTCCCTCTCTATACTTGAACCCAACCCAAGTGGATTCAAACCATAGGTTAAGTGGTCCGAACCACTTAGACCCTAATCCAATTTCATCGAGCTATATTAAGATTGGTCCGAACCATTTGGTTCAGATTGTACCCAATTCAGCATTTATATAGTATATAGATGCATTTTTTAGTCAGAGAGAGTATTACACGGAGGAGGTTCGCCGTATCCACGAGTTTGTAGTGTTGCTACTGGTGGATGTAGACCGTTGTATCTTGGGAGATAGACGCCACTGAGTCCGTTGGCACCATAGAGGGGTGAATCTGTCTTAAGGACATAGTATCCAATACTAATCTTGGTCCAGATTCATTCCTTGTATATTATTATTATTTTATTACTTTATTTTACATATTTAATTAAATATAGAGTTGCATATTTAATTAATAATTTCTTAACATATTGTTAATTATCTCATGACATACTAGTATAAGGTTTGTTATATCTTAAATGTCACATGAAGCATATATCTTTCCAACAATCTTAAGACAGATTCATTCCTTGCGTAGATTTTATTATATGTTTCTATTTAAAATATAAACAAGTAAATATTATACTAATAGTTGAGATATAATAAAATAATGTTTTATACATTATTGTATTATAATAAGCTAAATATTAATGTGTTCAATATTATCTGGCATTGAAGCATGTTATATAAGTAGATTATTGAATTATTTATATAATTTGATATTGGTTGAATTATTTTAATTTTGTAATATGATATTATGAAGTACATGACATTACCTTAAACAAGTGCCAACTGGAGGTGGAAAAAGGTATTTCGTTGGTTTTATCAATGATTGCATAAGATACTATTATGTATATTTGTTACAAAGCAAATATAAAACATTAGAAAT